TATAACTAAGTAAATGTACTTGCTTAAAATTCACACAGGAATGTGGTTTTAACATGTGCAATTCCCTAACCCTTTTATAACTCTTTTCACATGTATTCTTAGAGATGCTATTCTTTTACTTAATTGTACATCTTCTGGAGAACCTTTTTCATTCTGTGATACACTATAAGGCGGTGGCCTTACTAAAGTGCATCCCATGTTTTCAAGTAATAGCTGAATATTCTTAAACTCCCTATCTGCCATTATATGGGATCCAGGAACCAGTTTGTTTAAATACCCACATTTTTATATTATTTCTTTATCACTAATTCTTCCAGAAAATGATGAATAAATTCGCTATACTCAAAACTTTCAGGAGATTCCGGATTTTCTTTCAGAAGAGTTTTTAGAGTATACAACTTGTGGTGCTCGCGTCCTGTTTGACGAGCCCACAAAGAACTTCTAACAGATTTCTTTATGACATTTTAGTTGATTTTTCATGTTTGACGTTTTATGTCATTATTTTTACTTTTTGGTTATATGCAAAGAGGTTAGAAAGGGTAGAGGTAACATAGGAAGCATTTCTCGCTGCGCGAATTTTGCCAAAACCGAAAAACTGGGTGGAAGGAGTAGGGAGGTGTTCTGGGCCGGACTTAAATATTTGTATTGTAGTACCTAATTTTGGTGGGTAATTAAAAGATGAAAAATTATGAGACGTTTGTTTGACTTTATTTGTTAGCACGATTCATGTATTATGAGGGCAATAACACTTTATCAATATATAACTAGCTAAGGGCCGATTCCACCGTTGTGTCAAACGAAGTTTAAATTATTAAACGAAGATTAAAATGACATTGTTAATATAAAAATGTCATTTTAAACTCCATTTAGTAATTTAAACTTCGTTTTTGTTAATATAAAAATGTCATTTTAATCTTCTTTTAGTATTTTAAACTTCGTTTAATAAAACGGTGAAATCGACCCTAAGTAAAAGTTTAAATGGGTTACCTTTTCGTTCGTTATAATATTTTAAGTTTATTTGACATAGGCCTACTGTTTTAAGAGAAAAAAATGTTTTGATACTTATATCCTGGTAATTATTTATGATTTAATTATTTATGGAAAATACCGTCCAATGAATTAAAATATTAGAAAGTCAATTAATAGTTATTTATGTAATCAGTTACGAAATGCCTTATTTTGTGTAACGAGTAAATATTTGCAAAACGAGCGCAGCGAGTTCCCGCAACATGAACGACTTACACAAAACGGCATTTCGTAACGTGTTTATATACAAGATTTTTTCTAATTTTGACTTGATTATTTATAAAATTGTGTTGAAAAATGATTCACCATCATTCTTGTGTAGGTACTTCCAATCAAATATTTTAGAAAATTGTTGTATTTGATTGCCCTACGACGTTTTTTTTTTTCAATAGTAATAATAAAAACAAGGGACATGTGCAGTGTTGCCGATCTAATTTTTGACATTACCCGCGAGAAATTTGAAAAAAAAACATTTTTACCCATTATCCTTAAAGAAGTACGTCAAAATTTTACCCCCAACATTTCTGGGCAGTTTTCAATAACGGTGTTATTTTAAAAATTAAACGCAATTTACAGCTTCTCTTTTTTTGTTTTTAAACGTAATGTCATATTTTCAAATGTGAAATGTCACTATTCATTGCCTCTTTTTCAATATTTGGTTTTTTCGATTTTTCGTTTTTTGGATTTTTCAATTTTTTATTTTTAGATTACCTACTCGATTTCTCGATTTTTTTGATTTCTCGGTATCTCAATTTCTCGATTTTACGATTTTTCAACTTAGAAACCAAAAAAGAGGCAGTTTTATTTATTTTCATTTCGTAACTGGTGACATAATCAACTTTCCGTAATCAGTTGCATAATGTTCTACTTTATGCAAATGTCCATATAAATATTCATTAAATTTATTTAAGCCAAAAATTATTGCAAGGATCTCTCTTTCAATTTGGGAATATTTTTGTTCGGACTTTGATAAGGTACGCGAAGCAGAAACTATAGATTTCTCAATATTCTTTTTTTTTTCAAAAACATGACATATCATGGCCCTTATTACCACATTTGATGCATCTACGAATAATTTAATCGGCTGAAAATGCACAAGAGCATCATTTATTTTTGATTTATTCCAAAGATTCCTTGCAAAAATTATCCCAAATCTATTTCACCCATAAAAAATTAAATAAAAAAAGTCCTAAAGCAAAATCATATCCTCCTTCCTGTTAGTGACTTAAAAAAATTACTTCCCAAAAAACGGTCCTCAAGCCAGGTCCCTCCATTTTGTGGCGATAGTACTGTTTTTTTTTTATTGTGATTATTTTCTTCGCGGAAACTTTGGCTTTACACTTAGAGTAACACTATTATAGAGAATTACTAAATAAATAGTTTTGAGAAAACTATTGAAACCAGTTGTGAAGTTTGAAACGAATAAATTGGCAATGAAATTGGTATTTTTGTATTTGATTGTATGTTTCTCTTTTCACTTCCTAAAAAAAGATTCCCTATGAAACAAGAAATAGTAAACAGTTTATAATAATAACCTTTATTTGCTACTTATAACATATACCAATGACCAAGTCCGATTCTGTTTATTTTCAAATCAACAAATATGGACGTCGACAGAATCTTTAAAAATTAAATATCTCACCGAAATAAATATAAGTTTCTTTTATCTCCGTCACATTTCGCAGGTTTATTATAAATAAAGCTTTTTACAACACATCTTGGCATTTTCAACGTTAATTTCCAAAATTTAAGTCACTAAAATACCAAATTAATTCTCGTTGACATATTAAATTTGGATGGACAACGGTCTGACATGTGATGTTCTCAACTGTGATTGGTGGGTGTGAATCATTTTGAAATGGGATTATGCGCAGTGTCTTATGTTCCATCTAAGGTTTGTATAATCTAAGGTTATATGCAATGTTTTGTAGTGACAACCATCTGGTCTCTTCTTTTTTAATAACGTCACCGTTATTGATTAAGCTATGTTTTTTCTTTTTTAAACCTTTACAGGATTTTCTGGATGAAGACACAAGTAGGCGGATCAGTTAAACGCAGTATATAATTCAAATACGTTGTGATTGACATGCATGTTCTTTTTATGTTGCGCTATTAATTCTTTGTTGCAGTTTAAATACAAGTGTAAATTAAAAATTTAAAAAAACCGACTTCAAAAACGTGCAGATGCCATCACCACATCTTAACCAAATTTATATGGGATCACCCCTGAGGTACCCCCTTACTAACAAAAAAAGAATCATATAAATCGGACAAGGTGGTAAGGCATTATCGCTAAACATACATCAAAAATGAAGAGTTTGAGGATTTTCTCATGGACCCAATTATTAGATTTTGACTAAATTTATATGGGACCACCCCTGAAGTACCCCCTTTCTAACAAAAAAAGAATCATTGAAATCGGACACCGTGTTGAATAATCGCTGAACATACATAAAAAAAAAAAAAAAAATATCGCGACGAATTGATAACCTCCTCTTTTTTTGAAGTCGGTTAAAAAGGACCGCCGTTGCTATGCTGAGGAGAGATCATTAAATAGCACATCATCGATCGGTTTCATTTTTTTGTATATATTTCGAAAGTTTTTTTATATATATATATATATATATATATATATATATATATATATATCGAATAAATTTTTAAAAATTACTTTTTTTTTAGTTTTTAATTTAGTGGGACCAATCAACGGGACCACTAAGCACCTAAGAGTTTATAGTAGACTCATTTTGAATTTCCTGAATGGGACAATTAGCAGAAATTGCTGCTACATTTTGAATATCCGAGAAAAATAAAAACATTTGTCTTCGATTTCTAATTCTTTATCTTCGTGAATCCTACGAAATTGGCTCCAGAAAAGTAGCCAATTTTAAACATCTCCTCTTCGTAAATTTAATTTTTGGTAGGAGTATTTTACTTTGAAATGATGAATTATATCGACTACTACTAGCCCTAAGGGTTATTGTATTTAAATAGTTTTCTACCTTAAATTTTTTGCTTTTGCTGTCTCACCGTCAACGTCGATATCGTCTGAATCATTTTCTAACAGGAAATCGAAAAGCTTCTTGTCCAGTGCAGACATTGTTTTAATTTTTTGTTCAAGAAGCTTTAGTTACCCTTGTACCTCTGTGATATCACGTTGTTCCAGCGGAAACTGATTTATGATGGTTTCATATACCTTCTCGAAAGACGTCCTTTGTAGATCTAACGCCTTCATCAGCTTCTCGATACCATTAACACCGTGTCCTGTCACGGTCGCCATATTTAGCAATTTCTAACTATTATCTATAGTTAGGAATTGATCAAATGCAGACTGATGTTAAATGGTATAAAAGTATTAAAAAATTAGACTGATAAAAACGTCTGACAAATCTGTCTTATTTTCACCTCAAAAAGAAAAAAACTTACAATTTATGGAAACAGCAACAATACAAAATACAACAATATTTAATAGCTAATTCAACTAAAAGAGGAGAATGTAATCGTAGAAAAACCTAAGACAATATTCCAGAGTTCAATTATCAAAACCGTAAAAAAATACCACTTTTGCAAGAACAAGAAAAACAGAGACAAAATAATAAAACCGTTAATGAAAAGATTACATTTACAAGGATTGTTCTGTAAACAAGCAGGAAAAGATGCTGATGCTGACATAATTAAGACCTCGATAGAAATTGCCAGAGATACTAATAAAACTGTCATTGCTGAGGGCAAAATATTGATCTTTTGATCCTTTGAATCAATTAAATTCAAACAATCATGACATTAATTTTCTTAAGCATTTCGGCATTGTTTTTCTGGTTGCGATACAACATCTGGATTTGCCAGAAAAGAAAAGAAAAATTCATTATTAGACGATAGAAATTTGTCAAATTTGGCGAATATTCTTTAAAGAAAAGATGCAAAGATATCGAAAAAAATGGATTAGAATTAATAAAATCTATTTATAAATGTAAAAATCTCCCACCCACACAAGGTGCAGCAGAACAACATTGTTACAGGGCATATGATTAGCTTCGAACTTGGCTGGGTAACGACCTAATAGTAACAGATTGGGGATGGAAGCAGATCAACGTGGAATTATGCCCAAATTTACAGAAAAGGAATTCGTTCCGGAAATATTGCTCAAAACTATTTGCTGCAGATGTGAAATTGGATGTAACAGTTTAAAATGTGGCTGCCGTAAACATGGTTTAAAATGCACAAATTTTTGCTAAAATTTCATGGTTCTGAAAAAGGCTCCAATGTGGAAAAAAAAAACCTACGAGGAAGTTAATGATTCAGATGAAATTGTGGATGACAAACCAATTCAGACTGGAAATAATATTGGAGACGAAGACGGTGATGGTCTTGAAGATTTCGTAGATCTACTAGAATTGGGAAGGTTTGTCAAATCTAACGATGAGGACATGCCATCAAAAAAACAAAAACTTATGGATAAGTGATTAGAATTCAAAATAAGGTATTTATAAATAACAAGATTAATGTATTAAAAAATAATATAATGAATAACGTAATCAGTGTAAAGTATCTAAATTCAATAGTACGATTTACATGTATATTTACATATGATGAGATTTTCTATGATATAAATGTAATTAGAATTTAACCCTTGGTTAGGCGCGCGGGCTACGATTGTAGACCACGTCTGTCTGAACAGTGATATTTCTCAAGAAAATACGCAGATGCGCGCGCCACTGTCAGTAGCTGTTGATATTTATTCTTTCCACCCAATTAGTATGTTTCCCGTGCTTGAGACGTATGGTAGTTGTTGTTTTTGGTGCTCAAAGTTGACTGTTCTACAACTGTAGCCCGCGCGCCTATTTGTGTAAAATTTTTTTGGATAGTTAAAATTTTGGATTTTGTTGGTTTTCACTAATTTGAGTAAGTGTTACTGATTCAATTATTAGTATGTATATAACAGCAAAATAAATTGTAGAAAAAACCGTGAAAACAAAATGTCCGATTCGAAAAGAAGGCGTCTAGAGAAAAGCAGTAATCCTGAAATATGGATGAAGTGGTTCAATGAAATATCAAGTGGGGAGGAGAGCCCAATCGACGACGAAGAATCGGATGAAGCAGACGAGGACGTGGCTGTGGAAAATGACCAAGATGACAAAGAATCTATTCAGGAGATATCAGAGGTAGAATGTGATTCTGAAAGAGACACTGATTCGGAAGAAGAAGCGGATGAAAATGGATCTGAAAATTTTTATTGGGGGAAAGACAAGATTACCAAATGGAAAAAGGATAGACCTAAGACTGAAGTTCGTACCCGATCTCAGAACATAATAAAATTGTTACCCGGAACAAAAGGTAATGCACGAAATTCTAGAAGTGAAATTGATTGCCTGAAGCTATTCATAAATGATACGGTCATAGCAATTATTACTGTTTCTACCAACATATATATCGAAAAAATTAGAAATAAATATGAACGATGCCGAGACGCTAGGCAAACTGATGAAATAGAAATTTCAGCTTTCATTGGAATTCTTATTCTGATTGGAACTTTCAGAAGTTCACGAAAAAACTTGCGGAACATTTGGGATAATTCTAAAGGAAATGGGATAGAAGCATGCTATCTGGCGATGAGTGAGAAGAGATTTAGATTTCTGGTAAGGTGTTTGAGGTTTGACGACGTAAGGACGAGAGATGAAAGAAGGGAAATGGATAAGTTGGCCCCCATTTGAGAACTTTTTGAAACCTTCTTAGCAAATTTTCAAAACAATTTTATTGCCAGTGAGAACCTCACCGTGGACGAGCAATTGCTGGCTTTTAGAGGACGCTGTGGATTCAAACAGTACATTCCATCAAAGCCAGCCAAATACGGCATAAAGATGTTTGCTTTTGTCGATGCAAAGACATCATACACGTTCAACTTGGAAACCTACGTTGGAACACAACCAGAGGGTCCATATAAACTAAGTAATTCCGCCGAAGACTTAGTACTCAGATTATTACATCCAGTGGCAGGTACAAATCGTAATATTACGGAAGATAACTGGTTTAGCAGCTTGTCGTTGGTGAAAAAATTGTAGTATGAAAAAAAAAAAACTGGCTTACATCGGGACTATGCGGAAAAATAAAAGAGAAATCCCTCCACAATTCTTACCGAATAAGAACCGAAAAGAAAAGTCATCTGTGTTTGGTTTTCAGGAGGATTGTACCATCGTATCCTACTGTCAAAAAAAAATAGATCTGTGATTTTGTTGTCGTCCATGCATTTCGATAACGCAATAGATGAGAAAACGGGTGATATCAACAAACCCGTAATAATAACCGATTATAATCACACAAAAATTGGAGTTGATCTGGTAGACCAACTGTGCCAAAAGTACAATGTACAATTTTTCGACCTTATCAACATATCTGGTATAAACGGTTTGTGCATTCATAAGGCAAATCACGCACAAGAAAAAATTGCACGGTCCGATTTTCTTCAGAATTGTGCATGGGATCTGATCCGACCCCTGATTGAGGTCCGATCAACAATTCCTACACTTCTAGTATAAATAAGGCGACGGGCACGAGTTCTTCTAAATACTATAGATGTACTACCCCCCACCCCCCAATAGACCCAAAAACTCTGTCGGGCGCTGCCATATTTGCCATAGGAGAAGTGAAAAATCCACACGTAGAAGTTGTTCGCGATGCAGTAGATTTGCATGCAAAGAACACATGAAGGATACTTGTACAGCATGCTTAAGTGAATAAAAATACGATATGTTCGGGGTTCCAGAACTCCAGCCATTTTTTATTGTTCTATTTGTTTATTATTTTATGTCAGTGCTTGTTTTGTTTTTTCTTAAGAATGTAAGTTGTGTTTACCTAAAGTTGTATTTTTTTTCTAAAACTTATTAAATGCGATATGGTTCGAAAATAAACAAGATAAATTTATAATTACTGTTTTATGCACCACTCACAATTTATTTAAAGAGGAAAATATTGAATTTATATTTTTATGATTAATTGTATCATACTAAGTATACTCTATAAAGAAAACGCCTTCAAAAAAGCCCAATTTGATTTTAGATAAAATCAAAATTGGTCTACAAGTGTAGCCCGCGCGCCTAAACACGTCACAAATGAGGGCGCGCCTAACGTAGGGTTAATAAATCAACTTTTTTACTGAAAAAAAATTGCAGCAGTCACATTTTTTGGATAAAAATCTCCTTTAAATCCTATCTTTAATATTTAGAACAACTATTTTTGAATCTTACATTTTTCGAGTAATTAAATTGTAAATTTTAATAAATAGCTTAAAATTGTACATAATAATTAAAAAAAAAAAAATTCGGAATCGAGTTTTTTTCGTTTATTTGCATTTTTTGAGAATATTTACCAAAATAATGTATATATTTCTTACACCATTAGAAAGTAGAGATATCAACAGACAAAAAGCCCACCGACTCTTTTAAAAACGCGGATATTTTGACGGAAGAATTTTCGATTGAAAATTAGGGTGCTTCTTCGATATTAATTCAAAATAAGGAGAACAAATAAATGTTTTAAAACAAAAAATTACAGTGTGTTTGGGACCAGATTTCGTATTTTTTTGTAAAAGTTAAGAAAAAACCAAAAACTTGGTTATTTAAATTTGTAGGAAGCGGTAAATTGAGACCTCCGTGCCATGACATATGACATACGTCATGCCACTTATTTCAAGGACTGTTTTGGTTTACTGTCAATAAAACGTGGTTAATACGATATTTTTTTTGCTTTGCGTTTTTGTTATTGTTTCAAATTGTTTTTTCAGACAGTTTAAAAAGATGCCTCTTTATTGCTTTTTATGTGAAAAAGTTTTCTCCAGTCAGTCGATCATTAATAGACACAATAGAAATGTTCACTTCCAAAATAATAGTAATAATTACAAAGAATACGCTTGCCACAAGAAATTTTCTTGTTTGGCCTGTAACGTATTTTTCAATTTTAATAAGGACTTACGTAGTCATTTATCAGAAAAACATGATCATCCTAACGAAATGTTAGAATTGGAGTTCGATAAATTTGCTGTTATGTATTAATTTTTAAGTATAAGAGGTACACTTCGCGTCATATAAAAGTGGTACACTTATTTTTCCCAATGTAAAACCAACTTGATTTTTAAAAATGACAATTTGTCAGATTTGTCACAGCCCATTGTTACGATGCCAGCTCAATTAAGTAATTTTGATAAAATAAGAATAATTTCAAAAATAGAAGATGGTTGGTCTATTAGACAATTGGCCCAAGAGTATAACAGAAGCAAAACGACAATTCAGAAGATTAAAAAAAAATTCGACAACAATCAAACTGTGGACAGAAAAGGAGGGACTGGGAGACTAGTTATAACCACACCATAATAGGACGAAACCTTAACTAATTATTTAAGGGAACATCCCTTCAATACGGCAAGACAGGCGAAAGTTGACACAAATTTTAATGCTTCAGTAACAACAGCATTAAGAAGAATTAGAAAAACTGATTTAAAGAATTGTGTAGCCGCCCGAAAATACAAGCTTAGTGAAGTAAATAAGCAAAGTAGAGTTATATTTGCCTTAAATTATGTTTTAAATGATACAATACATTTTTGAGGTCGGGTAATTTTTTCTGACGAAAAAGTGTTCCAATCACATCATGATGGCCGTATTCGAGTTTATAGACCGCCTCGAAATAGATTTAATGAAAATTATATTTCTTCAAATGATAAGTCCGGACGATTCTCTATAAATGTTTGGGCTTGGATGTATAGAGGAAGTTTAGGAATGTGTTGGAGAATCGAAGGAAGATTAAATGCGATGAACTATATAAACATTTTAGATAATGTAATGTTGCCATCGGTTAGGGAAATCTTCCCCAACAATAATTTTATTTTCCAGCATGATAATTGCTCAGTACATACCGCTCACCGTGTACGCGATTAACTTGCTGAAAATAATATTGAAACGCTTCCATGGGCCTCTAAAAGTCCAGATATGAATACGATCGAAAACGTTTGGGGACTTATGGTCAAAAAATTACAAAAATTAAATGTAACTCCTCGAAACAAAGAATATTTATGGAGCCTCATTCAAGAAACCTGGGAAAGCTTGGCAGAAGAAGAAAATTTATCAATAAATTTAATCAATTCAATGCCCAGAAGATTAAAAGAAGTTATAAATAATAATGGAGCTATGACAAGATATTAATCTATTTATTTCCTATGTTTCGAATTCTCTTATGTATTTAAATTTCACGCTTATTAATTATAAATATTTAAGTTATTCTTTTTGCATTTATGTTGAAATACCTTTTTTTATTTTTCCAGTACGTTTTATTTCTTTACAAAATTTATTTACTTCTACTAATATTTTCGTTGTGCTGGCAACGTTGTCCTAAAATGTACAGCCTATAAAATAGTTT